CAGTCGACATCATCGTCCCGTAGAGGTTGTGCGTGTCGTACTCGATTAGGCCGTTTGCATGAACGGCGTCGGTCTGTCGAGCGAGTGAGAGTCAGCTACAGCGAGGCTAGGCAATGATGTTGTACTTGCATAGGCGGTCTTATCGGAGAGAGCACCGTTGCCGGCGAAGTTGGCAATTGCATACGGCGGCGTCTGCACGTCGTCTCCGCTGTGGTCGACGCGCTTGACGTGACGCTTGGCTGAGAAGGGTTCCTGGCCGAAGATGGGCGCATCGGGGTCGGGAGGTGACGAAGTACGCGCAGGCGGTAAGTCCTGCTGCTTCGCCTGCTCGAAGGGATCCGTGCATGGATAGTTGCAGAACTGGAGACATGGTCAGTCAGTTGGTCAATAAGATATTCCTACAGACCGATACACACGCTCGAAGGCTCGTTCATATCGATCCAGGCGCCATCAATGTCAAGGCCAGTGTTCGGGTCGTAAAAGAGCTTGAACTCGTTGGTCCAGAAACTGTCGAGCGAACAATGAGCAAACAACCCATACTCCTCAGATAGCCACAACACTCACTCCTGGGTCTTCGGATTGAACCAATCTGGGAAGACGGTCACACCAGGCCAGACGGCTCCGAGGAACGGGCTGCTGCCATTCGCGGCCTTGAGCCAGACATCGGCCGCGGTCCCACGGTCAAACGGCCCGTAGCCTTCGTCCGGGAGGTAGGCGATCGCGGGATCGGTCATGAGCACTGTACCAGGGTCAGCTGTCGTTTACGATATACAACGGATGTGATGCCATACCAAACTTCTGGTCGTGCGAGTGGAGGTAGTCAACGATCTCGCGCATGCGGTCAAGCGGGAAGTAGTCTGGGTCGACAGTGAAGATGCGACGCTTGTACATATAGTCTGTCCCCGTCATTAGATAGCGCAGTACAACAATGGTGAAAAAAGCATGTACCAATGTCAGTCCACATCGTCTCGAGCGGGATACCGGCAGCAGAGTAGTTGGTGATGACCTCCGAGACGTCAATGTAGTCTATAGACATTGGTCAGTTGGTTGCACCATAGCGCACAGAGGATACATACTTTGGTAACCAAAGCGGCACTGATGAAGGCCGAAAGACCAGTAAGGCACCTCCGCAGGGAGTCCAACGACATCTGCGTACTGACGGACAACCTCCGTCGGGTCGCTCTCGCTGCCTGCCAGGAAGTAGAAATCGAGGATCCCGCCGATGACGTTGTACTCGAGCGTCGTGCCAGTACCCTCCGAGTCGTCGATCTTGATGTCCATCCCATTCGAGTTAGCAAGGAACACGCCATGCGTGCCGGTCGTGCGATGCTCGAAGTAGATCGGGTGGTTCCCATACAGGTTGTTGCCCTGCGGAACACCATACGCATCGCGCGACCAGAGCGTGCGGGTGTAGTTGTGAGTTGGGAGGCGGAACGTGTCCGTGTGTTCGCCCAAGCCGTAGACGTTTGCGTTTGCCGGCAAGTTCGTCTTGACGCGCAGATACTGGGGCTCGAAAATGATCGGGTGTGACGCGGTGGAGAAGAGAACTTCGTGGGTCGAAGATCGGTAGATGGAGAATGCGAAGGGCGACGTCGTGTAGTTGAACCGGATTTCTGACGTCAGGGGTCCCGACAGAAGATCGGCTTTCGGACGCGGAAGGACAGATTCGGGCACTTCGTATCTCTTGTCAGCGGGGTCAGTAATTTTGACGTGAATGCGGTCCTCTGTGATTGAATGAGTTAGCGGACTTGTCTTGAATTGTCAGACTGTCGGGCAAGTAGACGTCAGGCACTCTGCAGGCTGCAGCACTTCTTCCACGATGCTCCCAGGGCGCGTCCGTGCCAATCGATGCTCGAATCCCCCTCCTCGAGCCGTAGAACGCAACGCTTTGCTACGAGCGGTCGCCTTGCGTGTGCGTCCTAAGACACAATATCCAGCCGCAACATCGGCTCGCGACAAGTTCTCTCGTACCGTCTCCAGGACTGGTCGGGAGCCAAAGTGATTGGAAGGCGGGTGAAATTTACCTCAACGGTTCAGACCCGGAAATTTTGGACGAGGACAGCCTGGGAGTGCCGCAACACTGACATGATGGTGACACGATGTAACCCGCCAGCTGGAGCGGGACACGACCACGTGACCCGTGTATCGGTTGTGCGCGTGTCGTCGAGGCCGCCTGCATGCGACCCCGAGTATACTGAGGAGTACTGCGGCAGTCCGCGGGAGACCGGCGCGGGCGCCCGACCGCCCCTCCAGACGACGTCAAGTTGCGCGTCCAACCTGACTCCCAAACGGTCGGGAGCCCCGAGCGCGCCGTACGTCGCAATCCGTCTCCATCACCTCACGCAAATGGTATGAAGACACTCACTAGATTCATACGTGACCTGCAGCTTCAGCTTCTCAATATCCGGCCCGAAGACGTTGCATGCCTTCCCGTCGAGGACCAAGTCTGCGGAAAGCGTGTGGCCTAGGTTGATGACGTTCTTCGCCTTGTAGCCCGGGCAAGCGTCGAGGATCTTCGGGTCGGTAACAGTCGCGCTGACCAGAGCTGCCAGCTGGCCGAGAAGCGCAAACCTGAGCGCCGCAAGGACGTACATGGCTCAGAGCAGGACTCGGTGTGGAGGCCCAGCAGTACGAGCACAGACACGCGGAGGGGGAACGAGACGACGGACGTGTGGCGTATTTAAAGGTGAGCTTGTCGACGCACGTCGCTCCGTCCCTGACACTGACAGTCTTGATCCTGACTCCTCGACCGCCGGGGCGGGCTCGAGAGCCTCCAGTTGCGGTTCCATGCGTCACCAAGTTGGCGCGTAATGCTCACTTGACCAGTCGGCACGCCCATGTGATGATGCATGAGAAGGCTCCCACTTGTGACTTGATGGCCGCCTCTCCCGCGCATCGTCAAGTTGAAGTCCTTTGATCGCTCGACGAAGCGTCTGCATAACTGGTGCCAAGATGCGACCGCTATGGCAGAGAAACGGGTATCAACATGGGTGACCACGTCCGTCGTCGAACTTTGAACTTCGAAGATGTCGTCGTGATCTGTGAGCTGGTCGAGGAGTGTACAATTATAAGAATATCCCGCACCCAGTTACCTACGATCTGCCCGTGAGGTGGCTGGCTACCTCGCAGTCATTATGTCGAGAGCGCCGAGATCGTGAATACAGGAGTATGTAAGTAGGTTGAGATGATGGTTAGGGGCACTAAGGTCATTGCATGGACGTCTTCATACAATTAAGGTTCAGGAGTTTGAACATTGCGTCGGCGTCTCATGTTCAAGGTGGGTGCCATCCCGCGGACCTCATTCGGACATTGGTTACATGTGGCTGAACATACCCCGCCTTCAAGTTTCTATCGACGTTCCTCTGTACATCTCGACCTGGACCACCGCCTGTAGGATTCATTCGAACGACGACGCAAGACAAGGTGGTAAGGAGCCTGCCATAGACCTGTACTACTGCGTAGCCTACTGCGATTGTGCGAGTGCTAGTTCGGCGGACGGCAAGCCGTACTCAGTAGCGTTGTCAAACAGTATACCGAGCGATACAATCGGATTGCGCCGGCCCTCTGCAGCCTTTCTGTCCACGTCGCCCACCCACGGCATCACTCTGCCACGATACACCATCATCAAGAGCTCTCCTTCGCGGGGCATGAGCTTCTCCGAAAACTGCGGTCCAACGTAGTTCGGATTGACCCGCACGGGGTCCGACTCCGGGGAGCGCAACATGCGTATGACGACGACACGTTGTCCGTGGTGGTCTGTACGAGCAGAGCGCTCGAAGGCGCACACAGCTGTCCCTGCACGGAGTACATATGATGTCAGCCTTCAGACGGGTGGCACCTCGGTAGTCCCGACGTACCTAGGAACGGCTTGTGCTTGATATACCTCCTACCGGCCTGCCCGGACTTGACCGCAGGTATGGCCTCGACGCCCGCCATCGCAATGTTTTGCAGCTCAGCAAATCCAAGGCCCTGCTTGCCTGCCAACATGACCCTGCTGGTGCCGGCCTCCATGAAGAGTTCGAAGGGCTGGCCAAACGCATGCACGCATCGTTTGGGTATGCGCGAGAGCTGGGACGTCGTGTTCATCAACTTCCTGGAGACCGTCCGGTCTACGGCCGTGAGGATGTGGCCAAAGGCGGCATACGATGTGTCCACAGCAATTTCCGGAAGGGAAATGCACCATGGGATCCCGCTCCGGGTCACGGCATCAACACCAAGCTCAAAGCTGCCGGGGTCCTCCGAGGCGGCGATGCGGAAGCGAACCTCCCCAGCGAGGGGCGGGCCGCTAGGAGGTTGGTGATAGTAGAGCCAGCCACGCTGGCCAGGCCGCATCGTCAGCTTAGGGAAGGACAGCCTGCACTCCGGAGTGTCCGAGTCGGCGTTGGGGCTGAAGACCGTGACGGATGTGCTTGAGTCGATCGTGAGGAGCTCTGCCGAAGTGAGCCTCGTGGGGTCTAAGGTCCAGATGGCCAACGAGGGCTCGGGCCTCTCCCTGTTGTGTGATGGCTCATCGGTCTCCGGCTCGGCCGGTGTGCGGACTCCGGTAGAGGTACCGTCAGTGGTCTGGGTGCCAGCGGACGAGGAGTATGCGCGCCGAAAAGTCTTCGTGCGAGCCAGTTCGGCACGAAGCACCTGCATTGGAATTGCGCCTCCTGAGCATGCTGGGCGCAACTGGATCTCCGGGTGCACTTGAGAAGCACCCAAGGGCCGGGATGATAGAAGTAGCGAGGTTCCAAAGACTCGCTTCGCTATCTCAGAGGGCCGGAGGGGAACCTGCGGTGCCAGCGCACTCATCTGTCAGTCAAGGACCTAGAGCCAGGGATACCGTGTCCAGACAGTTACCTTGCAAGGCGTGCGCATGGTCATCATGACAAGTCGAAGTCGCATGCAGTCGACCCCAAGTCGACCCGGATGTGGTTCAAGTCCAAGCTGAGTTCTGTTTGCGAGGTGAAAGTGGGTACACTATCGGTGGGATTGTAGCACAGCGAGTCTCTATATAAGGTACTATAGTGTAGTGGTTATCACTCGGGATTTTGATTTCTCCTCGAGAGTGGATTTCCCGGAACCCAGGTTCGAACCCTGGTAGTACCTTATAGACGTCGACGGTGTCCGTTTTGTTTCGAGAACTTTGCCAAGTTCCCGCCTTCAACGACTTGCGAAGGAAACCGCGCTTCTGCGGTTGGCTCGTCACTACTTGCGTCACTATGGTCAGGCATGTGGCGAAGGTACGTATGTATGCTCCCAGTGGTTACTTGCAAGCGGCGCTATTTCTGGGGGCGGCTACTAAAGTACTAAAGCTTCACAAGCCTCCGGACTCATCATCGGGAATTATTATTCACAAACGTTACATTGCGAGTACTGATGTGTTGTGTCGTACACATCATGACAGTGGGTAGTGAGTATGCGGCCCATATAAGTACACATGCTAAATACGGCATAAGATAAGTATCGTCGCCTTCCATTGACATCCAAGCAACAGATACGACTCATACAAAGAAGATACACAAAACCTGTCCCGGAGGACTTCAACGACCATGAGCCAGCATCGTGATTTTAAGGGTGACTAGCGGCTCCAGGCAGGTAATGCTGCAGAACATCGATGGGAGTGTAGGTGATATGGACTGCGATGACCGTGGGACGTCCGCGGTGCGCGATCCGTATACGGTGTCCCTTGGGCTGAAGCCAGGCCATCGATCTGGTGTGGGCGGTCGTCGCACCGGAGGACGGTCTTGACCGTTGACCGCTCGGAGGGCCTGGTGCGGCGAAGGATGACATGCTCCTGCATGTATCCAACAAGTTCAGGGTGCGTCAATCATAGTGGGTGATGCGAGACTCATCGCGCTGGTGGAGGAGGGTTATCCTGCCAGGTCGACCGACAGGAACGCGGGCTCGCTGTCTGCGGGGATGTAGTGGACAGGGTATCCGTCAAGGATGGGAGAGATGAGGATGGACCCGATGCTCTTCGACGCCAGCGCACGAGAGCGCGGGATGTCGGATGCGATGGGCGAGGGAGAACAGACGTCAGAGGCGCCGTTCCAGGAGACCGCGGTCGCAGATGTAGCCGCAGACGCGCAGAGAGCAGGCGTGGCGGAGTACGGTCGGGCTGGCCTGGGGACGAGGAGGGCAGGAGATGGTGCGCGGAATGAAGGAGCGAGAAAGCCTGGGGAGGGCGCGCGCGAAGGAGCAGGAGTCACGAACATAGCCGACAGAGCAGCTGGGACCTCGCAGGTCCTAGGCGGCGGCGCAGTGGAAGCGGTCGTCGTCTTCCGAGCGGCACGGCTCTTAGCAAGGGACTTCTTTGTAGGGACCTCGGTGGGGAGGCTCGGCGAGAAGTAGTCGTACCAGAAGTGCGGGGCCTCGCCAGGCTCATAGGGAGTGCCGAATGACACCGAGTGTTTATCGTCGAACTGAGTATGACGATCAGCACAGTGAATGGGGGCATCGAACGGATGGTGCTTACTGGTTTCAGTCCGGGCGAAGGCCTAAGCGGCGCCGAGTGGCCGCGCTGAGCGAGCGTCTTCCAGTCTCTACAAGGCAGAAGCCTTCAGTCTGCTGCGGCACGCTCAGACGGAGGAAGACTACTTACATATCCGAGAACCACGGGTGAGCCTTCGCCTGCTCGAGGGTAGCCCGACGAGCCGGGTTGGGGTCAAGCATCTTGTAGTACAAGGTATCAGCTCGGATTTGAGTACATAGAAGGTGCGACGAGACACACCATCAGGAGAAGACCATGCGCTTCAGCGTCGATGTTGTTGAGCCCGATCGGCTGGGTGATCATCGCCTCATAGACGTCTCGTACCTCGCGCCCTTCACGTTGAATGCCGAACGGGAGCTGAACCACTCGTGAGCACGACGCCTCCATGACGGATCATCTAGCCACGTACCTTGTTCGACAACATCTCATAGATGACAGCGCCAACGCTGAACACGTCTGCGGAGTACGAGTACGGACCCCCACAGCAGGCCTCAGGGGCGATGTACCCAAGCGTCCCGCAGTTGCGGTACGTGACGTCCGCTGTGTCCCGTTCGCCACGGTTGGCCAGCCGAACGGAGGTGAGGCGCCACTCGTTGCGGATGGTCCACGGCTGCTGCTCAGCAGCCAAGCCGAAGGGCCGAGAGAGCCCGAAGTCACTGACGACGAGTTCGCCTTCGCGCGTCAGGAGCAAATTACCTGGCTTGATGTCGCGGTGGATGATGCGGCGTTTGTGCAACTCGTCTATCGCAAGAATCTGTGGTGATGCGAAGGATGAGCCAGTGATCATATTGCAGCCAAACGAGGATAACTGAGGACGCACCAGTTGAGCAGCGAGGTTTTTGGCCTGGGAGACCGGCAGTCCTCCAGACTTGTGAATCTTCTTCCTGAGCTCTCCCCCAGTGTAGAAGTCCTGGACAATCACACTCAGCTGCAGCACAAGGCGAGAGGAAGTCAGAACGAACCGTGACCAAGTACAAGTACTTGCTGTCCTCGAAGCTCCCGCGGAGCTGGATGAACCACGGGCAACCCTCGAGCTGCTTCAAGATCGCCTGTTCCTGGAACGCGAACGCGAGCTGGCGCGGGCTGAGCGACTTCTTGTAGGTCATCTTCAGGCCGTAGAACCGGCCGTTTGGCTTGTACAGGGCGAGCGCGACTGTGCCCTGTGCGCCTGACCCGACGAGTTGGAAGATCTGGAAGTCCTCCGCCGACAAATTCGGCGCCACGATTTGCCGGGATGGGGCCGCGAGGAGACGCGCAGCCGCGGCGAGCTTGAATTCAGGGATTGGGAGGTACTTTCCGCTGACAGCACCGACTGAGTGTGACGAAATGCGCTGGACCAGGGTTGTGCAGGTGGCGGGGGAACTTGCGAGGGCCATACTCGGGGACAGGGCGAACAACTGCTCGAGATGGCAGCCAATCTTACCGTCATGATCAGTATGGGAAGGAGGGAGAACGGTCAGGAGCTCCGTACCATCTCCCCGCCCTCGCCGAACCACATGCGGACGTGTACGTCCACCTCGGCCTGAGCATGCTTGCTCGCGTCGACGACGACTTGGATAGCCTCGATGATCTGGACGAAAGTCAGTGTATTGCACGCCTTTACACAGATGCAGTACTCACCAGTCTGTCCGAATACGACTCTTCGGCGACCGCAGGAACCTCGCAAGGCGCAGCCTTGAAGAACCGAACGAGTCTGGTGAAGAACATACTGTCACGACAGCAGAGCCGACTGTGCGAGGGCACCAAAGACCGAGGTAAGCAGACGCAGACAATGGTCACAGAGAGGAAAGCAGGGTCCTACCTGTGCATTTTATAATACACGGCGAGTGGTCAGAATCGCAATGTCGGAGGTGCAATTCGGGCAAGTCCTCGTCGGAAGTGTCACAGTCTTGCCTATTGCGTACATCCTGTTTTCGTCGTCGTCGGCGATAGTGACTATACGCATGGTCGCAATAAAGAGGAGGTGCACGGGCTGCAGGAACCTCGAGGACATAGTGGCAGAAGATCAAGTCGCGCCGCACGACGTTGCCAGAATTGGTGCGACCGGCCTCCGGTCCGATCTCCCGTGAACACTGCTCTCCAGCACGACCGCACGGCGCGAATGCCAGATAGCCGAAGACATAGGAGGGGACGACCGCTAGGAAGTACTGGACAGTCTGCGTATTGCAAGTGAACTGGACGCGGAAACAAAGGTAGGTCAGCAACTTCGCTTGAAGTTGGCAGGACTTCGACAACTTGAAGTTATAGCTTCGACTTCAACACGGTGCTTTGTGGGCCCGTTCACCGATCGACCACTAGGCTCTCACTCACATCGCAGTCAGTGCCAATCAGGGAGGAGACTGTAGAAGAGACAGGTCTTGGTCGAACCTCGTTCCTTGATCAAATCGGTGCTCACTAGTATGATCATCAGCGGCTTGAGCTCGAGTCCCCCACGGAACAACGCGTCGCGGTGGCACGAAATCACTCACATACATGGAATGGACAGCCCAGTCGATGTCGGGCTACGACGGAGCGCAGCACTAAGCGATACAATGAGCCTGACAGCCGACGCGCGCCCCGCCTTTGCGCCTCTGACGAGCCTCGAGCCGGCGGGTACCTCTCTTCTTCACTCACATTGACAATTTGCATACGAAGGCTCGACCGAGTGAAGAGCTCCCGCAGCAGCGCACGGGCCATCCCTGCGCATATATAAGGCCACCGACCTGCGACAGAGGATCAGCAGCAGTCGACGCACTCGCACTCGCACTCGCACACTCGCCTTCGTCTTTGCCTCTGCCTCCTCAACCCAGCACTCACCAGCACTCACCCACCCGCTCACACTCCTCGACACCATGTTCGCCCGCCTCGCCGTCGTCTCCGCCCTTTCCTTCGCACTCCTTGCGGCCGCCGCCGACAGCTGCAGCACCGGGCCCGTGCAGTGCTGCAACAGCCTCGAGAGCGTACGTCCCGTCCCCCAATTCCTTCTCCCCAGGTTGAGCCGGACGCTGACCGTAACTATAATCATAGTCGGACTCCGCCGCGGGCTCTGCGCTCCTCTCAGTCCTCGGCGTCGACCTCCAGGGCGTGACCGCGCAGCTCGGGCTCGGGTGCTCGCCCATCTCTGCTGTCGGCCTCGGCAGCGGAAACGCGTGCGCGTCGCAGGCTGTGTGCTGCCAGAACAACAACGTGGTGAGTGTCTATTGTATACGGTGGATGGGGTGTGGGTACTGACCTCAAACTACTTGACAGGGCGGTGTCATTTCTATCGGCTGCGCGCCCATCTCTCTTTGAACCACGCACTCAAAGCCTTGATGTCTGTTGCTGTCATTCGTTATGTTATGCTTCAATTCAATAGTTCTTGAGCTTGAAATGATGTCTTCGATTTCGATCTTAATGCGAGAAACAGGTGAGAATCGGAGACGGAGAAGTCGTATCCACGCAGTTCCGACGGCGTCCTGAACAAGCAGGATGGAGCCGCCACGATGAAGCATTCCCGTACTAAGTCGTACGTGAGGATACTGACAGCATTGTTCAGGAGTCAGATGGTACTCGCCAAAGCTGACAGTGTAGAGCTTGGGGGTCGACCTTGTAAATTGAATATGGCGAGGATGGTGACGGTGCCTAGAGCGAAGAGTGT